TACATTTACCAACATTAAATTTCATTTGCCATTTTGTTGCCCAATCACTTAGTCTGGTGAGATCTTTTTGAAGCTCTTCACAGTCTGCTTTGGTTTTAACTATCTTGAGCAGTTTAGTAGTATCTGCAAATTTTGACTCTTACCCCTTTTTCCATTTAATTTATAAATAGGTTGAATAGGATTGGTCACAGTGTGGACTCTTGAGGCATACCACTAGTTACCTCTCTCCATTCTGAAAACTTACTATTTATTCCTACCCTTTGTTTCCTGCCTTTAAACCAGTTTTCAATCCATGAAAGGACCTTCCCTCTTATCCCATGACAACTTACTTTACTTAAGAACCTTTGATGAGGGACCTTGTCAAAGGCTTTCTGGAAATCTAAGTATACTATATCCACTGGATTCCCCTTGTTCACATGTTTGTTGACCCCCTCAAAGAACTCTAGTAGATTAGTAAGGCATGATTTCCCTTTACAGAAATCATGTTAACTTTCCCCCAACAATTTATGTTCATCTACGTGTCTGACAATTTTATTCTTTACTATAGTTTCAACTAATTTGCCCAGAACTGGCATTAGACCTACCGGTCTATAACTGCCAGGATCACCTCTAGAGCCTGTTTTAAATATTAGCATCACATTACTTATCTTCCAGTCATTAGGTACAGAAGCTGATTTAAAGGATAGGTTACAAATCACAGTTAATAGTTCTGCAATTTCACTTTTGAGTTCTTTCAGAACTCTTGGGTGAATGCCATCTGGTCCCAGTGACTTGTTACTGTTACGTTTATCAATTTGTTGCAAAACCTCCTTAATATTGGATTAAGAAAGTTTTTCTGAAGAGCAGAATTGATTGATAAATAAATCACTAAAGAAAAATAGGGACTGTCCTCCTTTCACAAGTATTGTTGCATACATACGAGCATTATATGCAAAGGTGGCTACAGTATTGTATTACAGTAACTCACAACATGGTGCAGGTTTGTTACTTATCTGTAGCATGTGATCATTGTGGTAACTCCCAAAGTGATGCATAATTATCATCATCATCATCATCATGTCTGAATTGCAGCTACTTTCCTATAATACCTCAGTGATATGTGTTGTGTTGTTGGCATCGTTTTATCTATGAGAGACTGTGGGATGGTTTTCAATGTCTCATGTAACTAAAAAGTCCAATCTGAGATAGGTATGATCTTTGGCAGTTATTGCAAATGTATGTATCTTGGTTAGGAGTTGCTTGCTTCCTATGGGCTCTTCTCTTCAAGCCATAGACTTTGATGCCCTGATGGAGACAGTAGCACCACTTGCTACACAAATTCAAATAAAATTCAGTTTGAATAGGCCAGGTAGCAATGATTAGCAGAAGTTGGAATTAACAACATTCTAAAAGTTAATCTAGTTGTCAAGAAGTGCTTTAACAAGGAAGTTCTACAAGTAGTAGAGGCTTTGACATCAATTCCAACAAATGAAGCCATCCTGAATACAGAAGAAACAATTGCTATGAAAAATGACTACAGGATTCAAGGCAGCCTGTTGGGAATAATGACTAATGTTCTTATTTGGGAAGGAAGATTACAAAGGCTGCACACACAGAATAACTCATTACTTCTTTGGAAGCCATGGTTTCTGATAGTGGGAAATTTCATGGATGAGGACCAGACACTAATGATATCCAGCTGCCAAGCCTCCCAGAGTTTCACCCTGGGTTGTTACAGCATCCTTGTTATTCTTAGCTGTTACATTGGGATGCAGAGAGGGGGTATTTGAGAAACACCAGCCCCAGCCTGTTGAGTTGTTTTTAAAGATTAACACCAGACCCTTCCCACAGATCCAGATCAGCCCAAGGAGCCAGCACAGAGCACTGTTATGCTATGTGCTCATCAGTTTGTCACCCAAAAGGCAGGCTGCTGCCTACTGGATCAATTGGAACGTCCATGGTCAATCCTAAATAGAATGTGTTATGACAATCTAGACTGGTGAAACTGGTAAATGGATTATTGTGGCTAAGTCTGTTTGAGAAAACAAAAGGTTCAATCTCCTAAATAGATAAATAAGCCTGAGATATGAGAGACCAAGTCCTCCTATTGGAAATTCCACCGTATGTAATCTATAGACCTACACTTTCAGACAGCCTGTTACACCCTGGACTGGATTCCTGAGGTTAGATTTGAACATAAAGAAAATGTTAGATCACTTCATCTTCTATGTATAATAAAACTCTCTCACATTGCAAGGCAAGAAACAAACACCTTCATGTTTCCCCTCTGAAAACTTGTAAATCGGTGGCCCTTGCCAAATTCCAGACCTTGCTTATAGAAAATGCTACCCAACAAGGAGTCTAAGAAGTGGAATTAGTGAGGCAAGACAACTACTCCCTGCCTATTGCTATAGATTACCAAGCATCCCTTCCCACATATATTGAAGTGAATGACCTGTGATAGAAAAAGTTGAAAGGAGGAAAACAAATATGGAAGGCAAAAATGATTTGATACAGACACAAAAAAAGAATTTCTACAGACTTTTGCCATTGTCACAATGGAGGAAAAGGATATGTTTACACTGCAGTCATGGTGTGTAATTGTAGCTGAAGTAGACATTCCTGAACTATCTTAACCTAACTTGGGTCCCTAGAGCAGCAAAGCTGCAGCAGCACATGCTCATAGGAACATAAGAACGGCCGTACTGGGTCAGACCAAAGGTCCATCTAGCCCAGTATCCTGTCTGCCGACAGTGGCCAGCACCAGGTGCCCCAGAGAGAGTGGACCAAAGACAATGATCAAGCGATTTGTCTCCTGCCATCCCTCTCCAGCCTCTGACAAACAGAGGCCAAGGACACCATTTTATACCCTGGCTAATAGCCTTTTATGGACCTAACTTCCATGAAATTATCTAGCTTCTCTTTAAAAAAAATAAGGGATGAGAACTGAGCTGCAGATGGAGAACATGGGCATCGATCCCACTGCCTCTTACATGTTAAGCAAGCACTCTACCACTTGAGCTAATTTCCCTGCCTTGAGCAGTACTCAATGCTCCCCCTTGAGTAATTATCCAGGGTTCCAAGAGCGCTTGTACAGATAGTGTTGAAGCATCTGATGCCAAGGCATCACTGTTCTCATACCCAAGCTAGCTCAGGTACATCTACTTGAGCTGCAATCACACCCTGTGATCGCAATGTAGTCATACCTCAAAAAAACTCTACTTTTCCTCTACCATAGCAGCACATGTTGCTGGGAACACATTATCCTGGGGTTCTTGTATCTGCATTGGCTCCCCAGTGAATGCAGAATCCAATTCAAAGTTACCATTTTGATTCTGAAAGCCCTCCATGGCATTGACTCTAGCTACCACAGAGACTGCCTCTCCCACTGTGACCACCATCTCCTGTGGCAGCTACATCAGACTCAAAAAATGAAACCATCAATCCATGGGAGAAGCTCATGAGAGTAGGAAACAACTATCACAGGAGTAGTGCTAAACTAAGGAATTCACCCCTGAAAGAAAAGAATGAGCACGGACCTCACCGCATTCAGAACTAAATACGAAACTCATCTTTTCAAGTTAGCTTTGTCTCAGTAAGTTCTTCATGCAGCTACACCCAAAAATATACACACAGTTTACTCACATACATACAAACAAGCAACAACTTTAAATGACCCCTGTCACCAAAACCTTATAAACTGAGTAAGCTTCTCTCCTTTCTCAAGCTGAAGAAAAAGTGAAACCATTATTTGTATTTCTGCTTTTGATATTGGGAAGTGCTCAGATACTTTGCTGATGAGAGACATAAGTACCTAGATACAGTCAAATACAATGATATCACATCATAGGACAAGGAGAAGTTGCCCCTCTCTTTCTGACTTTAATGCAACTACACTTGGAATAGTTCTGTCCACCAAATCTCAGAAAGATGTTGATAGAGGGGAGAGAATTCTGAGAACAACAAAATCATGATTAGGGGGCTGGAAATATTATTTAATATAGAAAGATCAAGAGAGCTAATTGTATACAGTTAGGCTAAGTGACAAAAGTATGTTGGAAGAGCACATTATAGCAGTCTGAAAATATGTGAAGGGTACAATTTAAATGATACAAGTGACTAGAACTAGGAGTAATGGGGTATAAGAAAGGAAAAATTCAGGGTGAATATCAGAAAGGGTTTTTTGATAATTCGATGTATTTGATGGTGGAATACTGTCAAAGGATAAGATGGAAAAACCCCATCAATTCAGACAGGTAGTGCTAAATTTTAAAACCTGACTACACCCAAATTTGTGCTTATAATTACTGACAGAGTGAAGTGGAGCTTTAGCTGTCCTTTGGCAGATACTAAATTATGCATCACCAATACAAATTTCTGCAGCACAATGAAAATTTGAGAGCAGCATAGACTGAAGAATAATCCAGAACAGACTTGTGTTGAATTTAATTTCACAGAATCATAGACTCCTAGGGCTGGAAGAGACCTCAGGAAGTCATCGAATCCAGCTCCCTCCCCAAAGCAGGACCAACCCTAACTAAATCACCCCAGCCAGATCTATCTATTTCAAGACAGATAATACAAGAATTAGAATTCTGGTTGCCTTCATCTTTTGAATAAAAAATCCCTTTCCTTTTTGAATGAACCTGAATCTGTCACTCCCATGCTACAGAAACAAGGAGGCCAAACAGAAAATGGAGAAGATTATTTGTGACAAGCAGTCTGTAATTTTTTTCTCTCTCCTTCCCACTGGACAATGAAGAAGACTGTGATGGCACTGTGACAAAGAAAAATTATTGAATCATACTACCCATGGGTGAAATGTTAAAAAAAATTAAAGAAGCAACTTTACTTTTGTCTAGAAAGCAAAGGGTCAGCATTTACCATTTCTGTAACATGTACAGTGTTATTTATGGATATGGTTACTACATGGAGGAGGAGGAACAAGAAGTGAAAAGGTTTAATGAATACTGTATGTTTCTTACCTCTATATTAACAGAATTTTTTCTTATTTCCTTTAGACCATTACTGGGAATATCCCCCACACCACATGCACAGTGAATTTGAGAGCTTCGGGGACAACCAGTTTACAGAACTTCAAAGTGTACAGCCTCCCCAGCTGCAACAGCTCTACCGGCACATGGAGTTTGAGCAAATGCATGTCCTAGACTCGGCACTCCCAACCACACATATTGGCCTCAACCACCAGGTATGGTTGTCACCTTTTGCACAGAACATTGCATGACAGTAAAGAGCTTGGACCAACAGGGTATCAGAGACTGAGGTGCCAAAGATGTTAGTGAAATGCAGGATACAGTTATGGATCTTGATGGAAAGGGTTGAACAGAAAGCCTAGCTTAGAGTCCCACAGAAGGGATGGCTACAGCAGCCACAGCAAGACAGCCAATAAAAATGTGATTAAGCCCACTTGTCTGGATGGCTGCTCACAGGGGCTGTGTCTACATTGGCACCCTTTTCCGGAAAAGGGATGCTAATGAGACACTTCGGAATTGCAAATGCCGCGGGGGATTTAAATATCCCCCGCGTCATTTGCATGAACATGGCTGCCGCTTTTTTCCGGCTTGGGGCTTTGCCAGAGAAAAGCACCAGTCTAGATGGGATCTTTCGGAAAATAAAGCCTTTTCCGGAAGATCCCTTATTCCTCTCAAAATCAGGAATAAGGGATCTTCAGGAAAAGGCTTTGTTTTCTGAAAGATCCTGTCTAGACTGGCGCTTTTCTCCAGCAAAGCCCCGAGCCGGAAAAAAGCAGCAGCCATGTTCATGCAAATGCCGCAAGGGGTTTTTCCAGAAAAGGGTGCCAATGTAGACACAGCCAGGTTGTTTCTTCATTGCTAAAGGAAATGTGATTTTTAGAGCTGTGTGGAGAAAGGACAATTCTGTTTCATAAAGGATTTTGATATTTGGTTTTGTTCCAGTTTGGAACATCAACATAATAAAAAAATCAAATATTTCAAAATTCTCCACAAATGGGAATGGAGCTCCAGCTCTATGGGAGCCTACTTGGCACGTTGCCCTGGAGCTGCAAACCCTGAGGTCGCTGACTCAAAAGTAGTCAACCTGTCATGCTGCTCCAAAAGCCACAGATCCTAGACACCCTGGCTCCAAGGCAGGTTTACAGACCTGGACACAATTGTCTACAGACCTTAGCTGAGCTTTTGCAGATGGAATTGCAGTTTCGGGCTGACCATAAATTACGAAACATACGTTCTAGTGATTTTGAAAACCCACCCACCTCTTGTAACACTGTGTAACACTAAAACAAACATACACAATTAAGGACCCACCCACTCCTTAATGCATTTCATAATCCTTAGCTATGTTGCCATTGACATTCAGAGTAAATAGGACTCATGTATGTATATTGTTTCAATTAAACAGCCTAGTAGAAATAACCTGTCTTTATGGATAATTTCTCTTCCAACAAGAAAACCATTCGTTGCAAAGCCTCAAAATCGACCACATAGCTAACTCAACAATAGTATGTGAAATGTAGACCAAAGCATACAGCTGCAACAAAAAGAAGCATGTACTGATCAAAAGACAAGAAAAAAAGTCTGGAACACCACTCTGTGGGAAGCTTCAAGCTGTTCCAGCATTTAGACAAGCTGCTGAAATGCAGTGACTGACAATTAAGTCCATCCTAAAGCAGAGAATGAGCTTGACCTTCCCTGCTTTGGTTTCCTTGTAAACATCACAAAAGAGCAGAAGAGAAGGAGATGTTCCCTTCCCATTCCTTTCTTCCACTCACCCATCCATGCCTTGTCTGGTATTTCAGGACAGACCATAGGGCTAATTCTGTCCATGCAAGCCAAAAGAGGGAAAGGATTGGTTACAGAATAGATGGGCTACAATTATTCAAGCTGACAGGGCCTGGTAAAAGTCATCCTACCATACTTAAGGAATTAGCTGAAGCAATCTCAGAACCCTTTGCAATGATCTTTGAGAACTCATGAAGGACATGTGAAGTCCCAGAGGACTGGAGAAGAGCAATATAGCATCTATTTTTTTAAACAGAACAAAGACCACCCAAGGAATTGTAGACCAGCCAGACTAAATTCAATACCCAGAAAGACATAGGAAAAAATGAACAATCAATATGTAAGCACATAGAGGATTATAAGGAATAGCCAACGTGCATATCAAGAATGAATCATGCCAAATCAACCTAATTGCCTTTTTTGACAGAATTCCTGCCTGGCCTATTGGATAGGAAAGAAACAGCAGACATAGCGGCTACATCTAGACTGGCACGATTTTCCGCAAATGCTTTTAACAGAAAAGTTTTCCGTTAAAAGCATTTGCAGAAAAGAGCGTCTAGATTGGCACGGACGCTTTTCCGCAAAAGCACTTTTTGTGGAAAAGTGTCTGTGCCAATCTAGACACGCTTTTCCGCAAAAAAGCCCCGATCGCCATTTTCGTGATCAGGATTTTTTTGCGCAAAACAAATCTGAGCTGTCTACACTGGCCCTTTTGTGCAAAAGCTTTGTGCAAAAGGACTTTTGCCCGAACGGGAGCAGCATAGTATTTCCGCAAGAAGCACTGATTTCAGACAGTAGCAAGTCAGTGTTCTTGCAGAAATTCAAGCGGCCAGTGTAGACAGCTGGCAAGTTTTTTCCGCAAAAGCATCTGCTTTTGTGGAAAAACTTGCCAGTCTAGACACAGCCAGCTAGATTTCAGCACAGCATTTGACACAGCTCCACGTGACATTCTAATAAGAAATCCAGGGGAATGTGGTCTAGGTGAAATTATACAGTGCCTGAATAGGTTGAAAAACTGAACTCAAAGAGTAGTTATTGATAAGGCTCCATGTCTGTCATGGATATCACAGAAGTCACAGATTCCATTACTTTCAGTGGCCTCCATGACTTCTGCAGGGGCTGGTGCATCTGAGCAGCTCAGGCAGCCCTAGGGCCCAGGAGCACCAGCCATTGCTGGGGCAGTCTCAGACCACTCTCACTCCCCAGCAGCAACAGTTTGGGTGCAAGTGGGCTCAGGACTGGGAGTTGGGGTGCAGGATGATGTTTGCCTGGGGTCTCAGTTCCTAGCTCCCGATGCTGCCTCTTCTTGCAGGCATTGAGGCTGCAGCTCCCACTGGCTATCATTGCCAGCCAATAGGAGCTGCAGAATTGGGGCCTGGGGCAGAGTGGAGGCAGCATGTGAAGCTAGGAGCTGGAGGTCACCACTTCCCAAGAACCAGTTAGGGAGCCTGCCTCATGACCTTCAACACTCCCCAGTACCCATGGCACCTCACGAGGCTGTCCCTTTTAGCATCCTCAGCACCTCCAAGTCCCCCTTGGGATCCCCCCCATGAATACCTGCAGTATCTCCAGGCTGTTCTCTCTGGGAACCACAGCACCCTCGGACCCACCCACCTCTATATTCTCCCCCCCAAAGTTCTAGTCAGGGAAACATAGTAAAAGTCATGGACAGGTCACAGGCTGTGAATTTTTGCTTACTGCCCACAACCTGTCCATGATTTACTAAAAATATCCATGACTAAAACATAGTCTTAGTTATTAATGGTTCATCATCAAAATGGGAGGACATATCTAGTGGGGTCCTGCAGGGGTCAGTCTTAGGACCAGCATTAGTCAATATTTTCGTTAATAATTTGGATACTGGAATGGAGAGTATACTTTTAAAATCTGCAGATACAAAGCTAGAAGGGGTTACAAACACTCTGAAAGCAAGCATTACTCTTCAAAATGACCTTAATGAATTAGAATTGGTCTGAAATCAACAAGATGAAATTCAATAAAGACAAATTCAATGTACTACTCTTAGAAAGGAAAATCAAATGTACAAGATGGGCAATAAGTACTGCTGAAAAGATCTGGGGATTATAGTGGATATTATGGATCACAATTTGAACTTGAATAGCAAGGTGATGCAGTTGTGAAAAAGGCTGATATAATTCTGGGGTGTAATAAGTGGAGTGTCAAATGTAAGGTAACTGTATCCTCTTGGGATCAGTAAAACCTCAACTGGAGAACTGTGGCTAGTTCTGGGAGCTGCACTTTAAGAAAGATATGGCTAAATTGGAGAGAGTCCACTGGTGATCTACAAAAATGGATAAATGGTTAGAGAACCTGAGCTATGAAGGGAGGTTAAAAAAAGGACTGGATATGTTTAGTCTTGAGAAAAATGGACTGAGCAATGACCTGTCTTGAGATATGTCAATAACCATTATAAACAGGATGGTGGTCAATATGTCTACTGATGGTAGAAAAAGAAGCAATGGGCTTAATCTGCAGCAAGCCAGATTTAGGTTATAGATTCAGAAAAAAAATTCTAAGTACAAGGCTAGTTAAGTTGTGGAACAGACTTACCAAAGGATGATGAGGGATACCCATTACTGGAGGTTTTAAAGAACTAATTGGACAAACATCTGTCAGGGAGAGTCAAAGTTTACCTGGACCTCCATTAGCAAAGGGGGATAGACTTGATGACTTCTCAAGGTCCCTTCCAGCATTACTGTACTTTTCTATGTTTTTGTCAAAGAGTAATCGGGGTACAACTGTAACCTACTAGTGAATGTGGTTTACAGGGCTCCTTCCATGCAGAAGCAAGGAGTATTATAGCCCCCAGCTAGGAAGCTTTACCTCAGGCAATAGCAGCTCATGCATTTAGTGCTGAGGGCTGCGCTTCAATTGATGGTGCTCATTATACAATTACTCTTACAAGGCATTTTCAAGTAAACAGAAGCAGGAGGCCAACTTTCATTCTCATGCTGAATGTGCTAGTCACTCACTACACTCAGAGGTCAAAGCAGTAGTTTGATATTGAGGGAGGGACATACAAGATGATAGCTACCAAAATATTGTAACAGTCCCATTATTTTGTGAGACCAAATCTGAGTTCCAGATTGTCCTTCTTGAGAAAGTTTTCCCATTTTGCCCATAACAGCTCTTAGAAGATAACACTGTAAGGCTGTGTCTAGACTGCAGGGTTTTTTTCGAAAAAAGTAGCCTTTTTTCGAAAAAACTTCACCTGCGTCTAGACTACAGCCGCGTTCTTTCGAAATTAAATCGAAAGAATGAAGCTTTTCTTTCGACGGCGGTACTCCTCATTTCATGAGGAAAAACGCCTTTTTCGAAAGTGCTCTTTCGAAAAAAGGCGTTCTTGAATGCAAACAGGGCTTTTTCGAAAGAGAGCTTCCAGACTGCCTGGGTGCTCTCTTTCGAAAAAGCGGCTCACTTTTTCGAAAGAAGAGATTGCAGTCTAGATGCTCTTTTTCAAAAGAAGCTTTTTCGAAAGTATCTTTCGAAAAAGCCTCTTTCGAAAGAGGCTTGCAGTCTAGACATAGCCTAAGGGGAAAAAGGCTATGAGAAAGAAAGAAAGAAAGAAAGAAAGAAAGAAAGAAAGAAAGAAAGAAAGAAAGAAAGAAAGAAAGAAAGAAAGAAAGAAAGAAAGAAAGAAAGAAAATACTGAGGTAGCAGCACATTGTGGAAAGTAGTTAGTAGTCTCTAAGTCCTCCCTCTCCACAAATGCATTAATCATCTGCCTCTGCAAGCACCCCAACAGGAACAGTGTGACTCATTGGGTAATGTTTTCAGGACATTGTACATATTGTATATACTGAATTTCACATGCTGGTGCAATAAGTATTACTAAAAATATAGCAGATATGGAATTATATATACTATCAGATAAACTCATTCAGTCTTCCGAGACACTGTCCACATCTTCTCCCTTCCCCATTCTCAAGGCACCATTCATCTTTCATCTCCCACAGTACCATCCCATGCTCTTTCTCTACAACTCCAGGGGCACTGTTTTCCTTTGTACTCTTTTTTCCCTTTTGGTACCACACTTACCAACTACCTCTCCATCCTCCCTCCAGAAGTACCATTCTCAGTTTTTCTCCCACCTGTTCATGCCTCACATCCCCACCTCTCCCTTTCTTCCCACCCCTAAGGCTATAGCCTGTTCAACTGTAAAACATATAAGGTGACTCTGTGGTAAGGTTTGGAGTTTCTCTCTGGGGTATCTGACAGGAAACTTACACACACTCTTGCCCAATCACAGCCCTTCCTGCCATGCTTGCCTCCAGCCAATCTGCCAACTCACTAACCGCCAGCCACTGCACCCTGCAACCAATCCACTTGCACACTCCTTATTGGGACATTTCAGGATGGTTTTAGACACATCAGAAAAGCACCAGTTATTCAGTGCCTAACCCCAGGCTGGGCACTGTGAATCATGAACAGCCCATGCACTCCCCCCACATCATAGTTCCTAATCCTGCACAAAAAGAGTCTTACACAGAACACTTTTCTCCCACACAGTGCTGGAAGGAAGAGAGAGTGGTTTAGGAGGCCCTCATTTTTCCTAGTTTATCAGTTTAGCACATTTCACTGGCATTATTCTGTTTGTGGCATTTTGGGGGAAGTGGAAGAAGTGAATCTCCTTACTCCCCTACCTCCTACACTATTTGGACCCATACAGCAATGTCCCTCCTTTGGTGGTAAAGGAGAAGTTTCCATATAGTTAACCTCTTGCAAGGTCACTGTACCTGGCCTGCTTGATTTCCATGTGATTCACAGGAGGATGTAATATACCTGATAGCCTCACTATCACAAAAGGGAGAGGAGACAGTGCTCATATTTTCTCTTGCACAGAGATCTGTTTGCACAAGGGCAGGAGCGGCAATCAAAGAGCAGCTCTCACATTCCCAAGATTCTTTTGCTCCAACCCTGATGTAAAGGGCTCCACTAATTCATGCCAAGCGATCAAATGCCAGTTAAGTACTGACAGAGCAGAAGTACCCTCCATCCTGTCTTTGACATGCCCCAGCACCACACACTTAGTCTCGGGCAGGGGGTATAGTGTTAGTCTGTTTCTGCAAAAACAACGAGGAATCCTGTGGCACCTTATAGACTAACAGATTTTTTTATTTTACGTAGTGGTTTTTACGCATGAAAGCTTATGCCCAAATAAATTTGTTAGTCTATAAGGTGCCAAAGGACTCCTTGTTGTTTTGACCAGGCATTTAGTAATAGGAACTGGCCACACCAGCTCTACATCAGGTGAGAAGTCTCCTACATTTGGGGAAATACTCAGATGGTCAGTCAAGGTCTAATTTTAGCCATTTAATATCACCTAAGTGGTGAAAAATCTGACTCAGTGTGATACATCCATCACCTTAGAGTTAAGCATCTTCTCTACTCAAAGCAAGTGAGGAGTAGAGAAAGCTGTCCCAGGTTCAGGCTGGATATGCTCCTGCAATGTTAGAACCTTCTCACAGTGCCTAATCACTTCAGCAATGTGAAATGCAAAAGTGTAAACAGATACATACCAGACAGAGAAAAGGAAGATACAGTAAACAGCAGCCAGTTTTAAAATGGCTATTTTATAGCTTCAAGTATTTAGAACTGCCAAATTTAAAGAGACTGCCCCAGAAAGTCTTACTTAGAAACAAATCATAAAAGAGAGTGGCCCTGGTTTGCGGAGAGTTAACAAGGACCAGGAAGTCACCAAGGAATGTGCTGCTTCTGTTTTTCCCCACTGTTATCACAGGTACCATGTTGTTGTTGTTTTTTCATTGAAAGGTGATCATTGTGAATCCTTCTCAGAAGGTATATCTGAAGAAATCTTATCCCAGCAAATCCCACTCACAGGAATAATCTGTCACCCAAAGACACTTGTTAAATTAATATTTTGACTACATATTAGAAAAGTGGTGGAGTGTTGTCTTGTCAGAAACATATATACATTGCACGACTATTGCCACATCCTCATAAGAATCTCCATTTCATGTAATACATCTACCACCACGCCTCTAGAAGCAGGAAGATACCACAGTGAGGGCATATAAACATGATCAGAGAGAATTATCATCTACAGATGAAGAAACAAGGGCACAAAGAGGTGCCACAACTGTGCAGGGCCTAAACTAGAATGAGCTTCTGTCTTCCAGTGCTTCACCCTCCCTCTCTTAATGGGTGAAGACTGCTAAGGGCAATTTTTGTTCAAGTTCACTGACCTCTGAATAAGTTTAAACCATCCAGTATTTAAGTGACAACAATTAAATCTCTACTTATGATATTAAATAACCTCATACACCTGTCACTCGCTCCCTTTCTGTTAATTTCCCCTCACACTTACTCTTTTCACTTGATTCCCCTTGCTGTTTCTTCCCTCCCCACAATTCTTCCCCTCTCTTACTACAGGTCTATTTGCCTCGGATGTGTGTACAATATTCCTCTCCACATCAGCCCAGCTCTGATGAGGAGGATATGGAGAGGCAGAGCCCCCCTTTGGAAGTATCAGATGGGGAGACTGATGGTGTGGACCCGGGCCCTGGAATTATACATGGAGAGCCAGGTCAGTAAACTTAAGAGTGGCTGCACTGAGCCACAAGAGTGCATACAGTCTTAGTATGATATTGATGGATAGTGTTGTAGAATTAAGAGAATTTACCCCTTTGCTCAACCGTTAAAAGGTCCAGTTTCCTCTGGCTTCTCTCCCACTTTCTTATCTCCACAATGTTTGTGGCTACTTTCCCATCTCTCTCTCTGACCTTATCTCTCCTATGGCCATCTTCTCTGCTTTGGTGATTCTGACCTCATTTCACTCACCCCTTCGTCCTTTCTTCTGCCAGAAGTTGATCTTCTGCTGTCTCAGCATCTGCTTTCTGGCCCAAGTCTCAGAGGGGTAGCCATATTAGTTTGTATCTGCAAAAATAATGAGGAGTCTTGTGGCATCCTAAAGATTAACAGATTTATTTGGGCATAAGCTTTCATGGACAAAGACCCACTTTGTCAGATGAATCTGTTAGTCTTTAAGGTGCCACTGCACTCCTCATTTTTTTCTAGAACAGTTTATCTGCCTCCACCCTTGTGATTTCCCATCCCTTTCTAAAAGGCACTCAGAACCTTATATGCAGTCTGTAAACAGAGTGTGTTGGCTAATTCACCCACACTTGACTCCTATTACTAGCCCTTCATACCTCTCACAGAGCCTGATCCTAAACTCACTGAAATTAAATGGCAGTCTTTCTGCTGACTTCAGTGGACTTTGGATCAGGGCTCTAGGCCCCTGTCCCTACCTATTCTAACTTCCTATTGCTGTCATAAATATCTAACATTAATATAGAGCTTTATATGTTGAAAGTAGTGCAAATGGTTTTGATCCTCACAACACCTCGGGAAGGTAGATATGATCCCCATTTTATAGATGGGAGAACTGAGGCAGTGAAGTTTTGTGTCTGATTTTCACATGTTCTGAATACTCACAATTTCACTAGAAGTTGGTAAGAGCTGTAGATGCTCAACATCTCTGAAAAATCAGATACTAACTCACTAGAGTTGCCCAAAACCACAGAAAAAAAAACCAGTGGCAGGGCTGAGACTAGATCTCAGGAGTTCCTAGCTCTTATTCCTATGCTCAGTACACCAGATCACACTATTTCCCACTACAGCTGTAACTGCAGCACACTGAAGAATTTCTGTGAATAGCATAAAAAAAACCAAACAAATGGGCTGTTAGCACTTTATAGACTAACAAAACATGTAGATGGTATCATGAGCTTTTGTGGGCACAGATGACTGAAGAAGTGGGCTGTGCCCATGAAAGCTCATGATACCATCTACATGTTTTGTTAGTCTATAAAGTGCTAACAGCCCATTTGTTTGGTTTTTTTTATGCTGTGAATAGCATGTTAGCAAAACTAACACAAACTGTTCAAAGTTTCTCCATTGCATGCTATACACATGAAGCTATCTCACCACCGCTTTCTTTTTCTAACCCTCTCACAGGCAGCAAGAAGAAAATCCGTCTGTACCAGTTCCTTCTGGACCTTCTTCGAAGTGGAGAGATGAAGGACAGCATCTGGTGGGTGGACAAGGAAAAAGGCACTTTTCAGTTCTCCTCCAAACACAAGGAGGCACTGGCACACCGCTGGGGCATCCAGAAGGGCAACCGCAAGAAAATGACTTACCAGAAGATGGCACGGGCATTGAGAAACTACGGCAAGACGGGGGAAGTCAAGAAGGTCAAGAAGAAGCTGACCTACCAGTTTAGTGGAGAGGTAATGGGAAGAGGGAGCACCGATAGGAAGCATTATACTCACTGAGCACAGGCCTTGGGACCCTGAGCAAGCCAAAAAATGAAGACCTCCTGGCTGGATATTAGCAGAGGAGACGGACGCATCTTTCTCTTTGCTTTACGTCCCCACTTCTCTACCTTGTCAGGGCTTTTAATGTCCGATGTTTCTGGTACGAATTCCCTTCTTCAGCACTTGAGAATCCTACAGATAAGAGAATTATTTGCTTCCATCCAAAAAGTTGGACAAAGGTGGGAAATTTAAGAAGTATATAAATATATTATTGTCAGAAAATATTTGTTTGATTGTGTTATAATTAATGGATATGGCTGATGAACTTTTACTCTTCAAAGGCAGTGTTGTGCCACCTTCAGTGACACTGCATTAGCTTACATTACAGCTTTTAAACTAGCATTAAATATGGATTCTGCTGCCACTCTCAACAGCTAGAGAGAAGTCTGCAGATCTTGGAAAGATATCTGTTCTGTTTAAATAGTAATAACATGTATATATTTAATAAAATTTGATATAATTAAGTCTTGGTATTTGCATGACAGATGTCTGCTTCACAAATTAGTCTAGCTTGCATTCATTCAGTATCAACTCAAATATGGTAATGGAATATAGAGCATAACAGGCTCCTTGACGTTAACATTTCATGTCTCCAGGGGTGTTTTGTTTCCCTGGAAATGTTGGCAGCATTCTGAGACTATAAAATAAAAGTGAGTGGGGATCACAGTGAAGGAAGATGTAGAATCCTAAAAGTTACTAGGAATTTGAAAAATACACACCAAAGTCCCAAGTCACCACTGCCATACATGCTGTATCATCATTTACATGTGTGCATATGACAAGATAAGCAGGTATAACACACTACCACTCACTTATACTGATGGTTGCAATTGAGATGTAGCTATACCAATATTAAGTTTTCAGTGAAACCAGCCTCAGGACTTCAAGTAGGAATAAGAGATCCTCCGGAATAGGGCTTTATTCCGGAGGATCGCGCCAGTCTGGACGCTCTTTTCCGGCTTTTCCCCAAGCCGGAAAAAAAGCGGCGGCCATGTTTATTTAAATCCTGCGGGATTTAAACATTTCCCTATTCCAAAGTTCTAAATTAGCATGGCTATTCCAAAGAAGGGGCCAGTGTAGACACAGCCTCAGGGTATGTCTACACTACCCCCTAGTTCGAACTAGAGGGGGTAATGTAGTCATACGGAGTTGCAAATGAAGCCCAGGATTTGAATTTCCCGGGCTTCATTTGCATAAAGCCGGCCGGCGCCCGTGCCGCGTGTAGCCACGAGGTGTACAGCTAGTACACCTAGGAAGCCTAATCCAAACTAGCTAGTCCATGCCTCGTGTAGCCGCACGGCACAGGGTCCGACCTAGCCGGCATTTAAAAATGGCACCGGCTGGCTTTATGCAAATGAAGCCCGGGAAATTCAAATCCCGGACTTCATTTGCAACTCCGTATGACTACATTACCCCCCCTAGTTCGAACTAGGGGGGTAGTGTAGACATACCCTCACAGAGCTCGAGAAAGACGTCCTTCTTCATTCTAAAGTTCTGGAGCCATTGTTGGTCTCTCCAGCGCTCCAGAACGATGTGGTCCCATCTGCACTGGCAGAAGCCAAATGGGGCTGGGCACAGAGTCCAGGCCACGGCAGGTGTCCACATATCTGAGGAGGGTCTGCCACAAGGGCTGGGGGTTGGATTCCTGCAGAGCTTGGGAGGCAGCAGAAAGTGCTGCATGACTTGCAAGAACTGAAGACTACCTAAAGGCAGCTCCACCTCCATAGTGGAGAGTGTTGTGGTTTCCTAAGCAGAGCAAACAAAGCAAGAAGAGAAAATGCTTTGCTGTCCCTCAGAGAGGTAGGCAAGCAAGCAGGGAAACCTGAGAAACAACTGTCCAGAGAGGCCCCTTTAAGCATGAGCCTTAGGGTATGTCTAGACTACATTGGTTTTTTTTGAAAGAGCTTCTTTCGAAAGAGAGTGTATAGACAGCACACCCAGATCGAAAAAGCAATTTGCTTTTTCGAAAGAGAGAATCTAGACTACTAGGACGCTCTGTCACAAAAAGGCCATTCGGAACCACTTCTGGTAGGGCATTAGGGCAGCAGTTACTTCCCAGTGTTGCTGCCTGAGGCTAGCAGAGATGCGAGCTTAAAGGGACCTCCCCCCCCCAGACAGCTGTTTCTCTGCTGCTGCTGCTGCTGCTGCTTGCTTGCCTACCTCTCCAAGGGACAGCAAAGCTTTAGCAGCGTGTGCTCTGGTTGCCCAACTTTCTTGGACGCCACAACAGTTCTTTCTTCTTTTGGCCATGGAGCCGGAGCTGCCCCCGGGCAGGTGATGGCCCCACACTTACATGCTGCAGCTTCTGCAGCAGTTTCATCAGACCATCTGGACAGTCCTGGCCCAGCTCGACTCAGAGCTCGGCCTTGAGACCCTCGCCCTGGATCCAGGAGTACAGGGCTTGCCCCCGAACCTCCTGTTGGAAAGGCGATTTTGGAGGCTGGACACCAGTTTCGACTGGTGGGACTGCCTCGTCCTGGAGCAGTGGGATGACCAGCAGTGGCTCAGCAACTTCCGCATGCAGGCCACCTTCATGGGGCTATGTGGCTGGCTTGCTCCTGCCCTCCAACGCCAGGACAACTACCTGTGGCCCACCATCCTCCTGGAGAAGAGGGTCACTATAGCCATCTGGAAGCTCGCCACCCCCAACAGCTACCGCTCGGTGAGACACCAGTTCGGCATGGAGAGGTCCACCATCGGGGCCATCTTGATGGAGGTAAGGCACTCTTGGGGGACGGTCCCTGTGGGGGGAGGAGGGGCTAGAAAAGGGGGACCACTGGGAAAGGGCAAAGGGAATGGGGGGGAGTGGAAGTGGGGGCAAGGCCCGGCCCTGGAGGGGCGGGGAAGCTGCCGGAATGGGGGGGAGTGGAAGTGGGGGCAAGGCCCGGCCCTGGAGGTGCTGGCATTCTGCCCTCACCTAGCCCTGATGCTGGGGGAGGGCAGCTTCATGGGGAGTGGCTCTCTGTGGTGTTTGGTGGTAGAGGAAGGGGACGGGCACCTCCCAAGGGCTCAGGCACCTCCTCTCATTCTCTGTTGTGTGTTTCTATGTGTTCTTCTGCAGGTGATGAGGGCCATCAACTCCGAGCTGCTGTGCAGGATCATCCGCCTTGGAGATCTGTATCCCACCGTGGCCGGGTTTGCTGCCCTGGGGTTCCCAAACTGCAGAGGAGCGATCGATGGAACACACATCACAATCCACGCACCGCCCCATTGAGCGGCCCAGTTTATTAAGGGAAGGCATACTACTCGATGGTGCTGCAGGCCCTGGTCGACCACCGGGGATAATTTACAGACATTTGTGCTAGGTGGTCGGGCCGGGCACATGATGCCTGCATATTTAAGAACTCTTACCTCGATTGTATCAGAGGAGTAGCCGTGTTAGTCTGAATCTGCAAAAGCGGTGAGGAGTCCTGTGGCACCTTAGAGTATGTCTACACTAGCCCCCTAGTTCGAACTAGGGAGGCTAATGTAGGCATTTGAAGTTGCAAATCAAGCCCGGGATTTAAATATCCTGCGTTTGATTTGCATCTTCCCGGCTGGTCACCATTTTTTGAAATTTACAACTCCAGACTAACTGCCCGCATCTACATGCGGCAGGGACCCTGTAGTTCGAATTAAAGCCCCTAAATCGAACTACCTGTTAAACCTCATTCCAGGAGGAATAACAGGTAGTTCGAACTAGGGCTCTAATTCGAAATACCAGGTCCCTGCTGCGGGCAGTTAGTCTGGACTTGTAAATTAAAAAAAAATGGTGACCGGCCAGGAAGATGCAAATCAAGTGCAGGATATTTAAATCCCGGGCTTGATTTGCAACTTCAAATGCCTACATTAGCTTCTCCTCTCCTGGTATTCACATCAGCTACTAGAAGTGGGCCTCATCCTCCCTGATTGGATCCACCTTGTCACCTCTAGCCTGATTCTGGCCTGCATACTTATACCTGCCTCTGGAAAATTCCACTACATGCATCTGACGAAGTGGGTCTTTGCCCACGAAAACTTAAGCTCCAACACTTCGGTTAATCTATAAGGTGCCACAAGACTCTTCGCCACTTTTGCCTCTACTGCAGGATAGAACATTCTTCCTACAGCGGGACTTTGCTCTTGGGGACCTGCTGATGCCAACTTGCATCATTGGGGATGTGGCCTACCCACTGATGCCGTGGCTCATGAAGCCCTACACTGGCCACCTGGCCCTCACCAGGGAACAATTTAACACACACCTGAACCGAGCCTGCATACAGGTGGAATGCACGTTTGGGCGCCTCAAGCGCCGGTTCATATCCTGCTGACCCGCCTCGACATGGGGGAACGCAACATCCCCAAGGCGGTCTCTGCATGTTGCATGCTCCACAACCTGGTGGAGAGCAAAGGGGAGGCCTTCCTCCTGGGGTGGGGGACACCGGTTGGTGGCAAGGGAAGGCAGTTTGAACAGCCCTGGAAAGCTGCCATACGCCAGGTCTATCAGCTGGGGGGGGGGGAGGGGTGTATCCGGGAGGCCCTGAAGGAGAGGTTCTCTGAAGGAGCCCAGTAACTCTCCTCAGGGCCTCCCCAATGGAGGCTTGTGCATTGCCCTCCAATACCATTCCCAATACAACCCCTTCCTTCCCCCATTCCCTGCACAATCAATAAAGACACCATTTTTTATTTAAAAATAAACTTTGTTTCAACTTGTAGAAAATGTAAGTAACTGGAATGGAGGGGGACTCAGAACCAAGAGCAGGGAGAGGAAAGGGGGCTCAGAACCTGGAGGGGGGAGGCAGGAGGGGAGCTCAGAACCTGGAGGGGGGCTGGGAACTAAGGGTATGTCTAGACTACATGGCTCTGTCTCCAGAGCCATGTAGATTAGTTTACTAGACATACCCAAATGGAGTGGCGATTTAAATAATCGCCGCTTCATTTAAATTAAAATGGCTGCCGCGCTGAGCTCCATGTAGATTAGTTTACTAGACATACCCAAATGAAGCAGTGATTTAAATAATTGCCGCTTCATTTAAATTAAAATGGCTGCCACGCTGTGCCCATCAGCTGTTTGACGGCACAGCGCTGTAGTCTGGACGATCCGCGGTCGACATCAAAGGCATGTGTCAACCTCCCTGGTAAACCTCATCCCACGAGGCATACTTGGGTGGTTGACAAATGCCTTTGATGTCGACCGCAGAGCGTCCAGACTACAGAACTGTGCCACTAAACAGCTGATAGGCACAGCGTGGCAGCCATTTTAATTTAAATGAAGCAGCGATTATTTAAATCACCGCTTCATTTGGGTATGTCTAGTAAACTAATGTACATGGCTTTGGCGACAGAGCCATGTAGTCTAGACATACCCTAGGAGGGGAGCTCAGGGCTGGGAGTGGCACGTGGAGCACCTGCCATTGCCACCTCGGGTCTGGGGACCTCGACAGACTCAGGGTTAGGTGGGTTCTGCAACAACAGGGGCCTGGGCAGGAGGGGGGGCTGCTTCAGGGATGGTGGGGGGGCAGGAACGGAGGGGACAGGGGGAGCAGCAATGGAGACAGGACCCGGGTAGGCAATAACTCCCGAATCATGGCACACATGTTATCTCCCTGCTGCACCAGCTCTCCTCACATGCGCTCACGCCACTCAGCCTCCCTACAAGATTTCTGGGCGAGGGTTTGCTGAAGTTTGCAAATGCCCGCTATGTGCTGGCGCATGAGGTTGTAATGAAGCCGCCAGTGCCTTCGGGTCCCATGGCTTCGGCTGGCCAGCTGGGCAGACTGTGGAGGACAAGAGGGAGAGGCCATCAGTCATCCCTGCACACACTGGCTCTGAGGGCGTGCCCTCCTCCGTGAGCAGTGAGCACCTGCCCTTGGTACAGGGGACGCTGATGTCCTGAGAGCAAGGCCACATGTGGCCTGCCCAGGAGCCCTGGCCTCACAGGGGCCCCGAGGTGCCCAGTGGACCATTCTGCCTGTTCTCCCCGTCCTATGGACAAACAGGCCAGAGAAGTGTCTGGCCACAGGGGATTCCCAGGTGCAAGAGAGTGGCCTGGAGCAGCTTGCACGCACACACACACATACACACACACACACCACTGCACCTGGCAGCGCTGTCTGCGGGAGCGGGTGGTGCCTCACGTATGCACACATGGCCGTGTGGTATGTGCTACACTTGTTGGTCTGTGTGTGGTTGTGAGTATGCCCTTGTGCCCAGCCTGCTTCCAGCAGTGCCTGGTGGGGAGAAGACGTCCCTCCCAGGGGTTGGATGTGTGTGGGGACTCCCCGCAGGCTGTGAGCAGCAGCCCATGTGTGCTTCAGGACTGGCTCCTGAGACCATGTGTCACACACTGCCGCTGCACATACTTGCACGGCCAGCTGCACTCTGCCCAGGCTGAGCATGACAAGTGATGATCATGCCTCATCCCCTGTGCACCTGCCTCCCCCACGCTGTGTGTGTGCCAACCTCACCGCACTCACCTGATGTTCCCTCCCCACCATCAGATGATGCCTGAGACCTGGGGGACTGGCTGCAGGCTGAGGGTGACAACACTGCCAGTGTCCTCCTCCTCCTCCTGCAGCTCGTGGTTGTTGTCGTCTTCCTCCGCCTGGAGCTCTGGCCAGGTGACAATGGGTGTCTCCATCTCAGACTCCACGGGGATGCATGGTGACAGGGCTTCTCACTCCCCAGGATCTGATTAAGCTCCCGTTAGTAGGGGCACGATTGTGGGGCTGCCTTGGAGTGGGAGTTGGCCTCATGGGCCCGCGCATAGTCCTGCCGCAGCTCCTTGACCTTTGCCCAGACTTGATCAAGGTTGCAATGGTGGTGACCTCTGTGGGCCAGAGCTTCGGCCATCTGGCTATAAGTGCCGGCGTTTCAGCGCTGCAACTGAACTCCAGGAGGTCCTGGATCTTAGCCCCCGACCACGATGAGGCCCAGCGTTTGGTGCCCCTGGAGGGTCCTGGGACCCTTGGGGAGGTTCCCTGGAAGGGTCAGCGGGACGTCAGGGGCCTTGTGGCTCAGCCATGGCTGCTGGCTGGTGTGGCAGGGAAACTCAGAAAGTCACTGGGGCCAGCTTCCTGCCACAATGCCTTCCCCGGGTGCCTGCAGCTTTAAGTCCTGGCTGGACACAGGAACTATAGAGCTGTGATTAGTGTAGACAGATTGTCCACCAGGGCACCTGTGCTTTGTCCTGGAGGCCTCTTTTTTTTTAAATAACTGACTCTCCTGCATCCACACACACCTTTTTTTGAAAGAGCTCTTTTAAAAATAGGTGTTCTTCCTTGTAAAATGAGGTTTACCAATGTTGACAAAACTCCTGCGTTCTTTTGATTTAATTTCGAAAGAATGTGATTGCAGGTAAAGTTTTTTTGAAAAAAGGCCAGTTTTTTCAAAAAAACAATGTAGTCTAGACATTCCCTCAGACAGCCTCAAGCAGCAGCCACACAAAGCAACTACTGACCTGATGCTCTGCCTGAACTGGTTCTGGGTGGCCTTAAATGCGATTTAGCATCTAATCAGTGTGGACACACTATTTTGAAATAGCTAAGAGCTATTTCGACATAAGCTATTCCAGAAAATCTGTTCTGGACTAGCTTATTCCAAAATAATGCCGCTGTATAGACATAGGCCTGCAGATAAAGCTACTGCTGCTCATTGGGGTGAATTAACTATCTTGACAGGATAGCTCTCTCCCATCTGCACAGAAGGCTACATGAGAGATCTTGCAGCAGTGCAACTGCATTGGTGCCAGGGCTTCCCTCACCCCAAGGATCTGATTGAGATCCCAGTACTAGGGGCACAATTGTGGGGCTGCCCTGAGGCAGGAGTTGGCCTCACAGGCTGTGCTGCTATAAACTCTCTATTGTAGACACTATTGTATTGTTACGTCCACTATTGTATTTTGTCTTAATTTAGATGTGAGGTCTTTTGAATAGAGACTGTTATTTTATTATGTATCTTATAGTGCTACACAATCAGTTACACCCAGATCTCAACTGTAGCTTCTAGACCCACGGTATCTAACATGGTAGCCACTAGCCATATGTGACTATTTGGCCAATTGAGTGTGGCTAGTTTGACAGTTTCAGAATTGGTTGGATACCACAGTTCTAGATACTACTGCATAGCAAATAATAAACTAGTAACAACTCTGTACAGATATAAGTTACTTCACAGTGCAAAGTACTAACCATCTTTAATGGGTTTCATAAAAAACAAACTAACCAAACAAAATGCTCCTATTTTAGGAGAATGTTAAGATTTCAAAGTAGGAAATGTCATGGTTAAGATACCACATGAACCTTTATTCTGCTCCCATCTCCTCATGCGCATATATTACAATAGTCTAGTTACATGATCACAAGCTACCAAGTAATTTTTCTATTATCTGAAATACATGAGGTACCTTACCGAACAGCCCATGACTGTTGTGCAAGAGACATAGTATATATTCACAGGTTATAATATGCACCTTGCAGGACAGTGAAACAAAATGGCTGAAAGACAGATTATATACCATTATTCAGGATTGCAAATCAGATCAAAAGCTTGGGTTAAAGAGTCTGGTTCTTATTCAAGTATATTCAACGGTGACATAAGCTGTCAAACATGAGGATAAGGAAGACATGGACAAATAAGAAACTGGTTTTTGAGAGCTTGATCTAGAGAGGTGCTGGGCACCCTCATGATCCATTTAAGTTTGTGGAACACAAGAGTACTCAACACCTGCAGGATTGAGTCTTTAAAGTTATATTCCAAATTAGTCAATGTTGTCTATAGTAACAGTCCCACTTGGGGAAGTGAAGAGATTGATGTCATCACTCCACAATGGTAATTCCCTGGAAACAGACAGGAAGAAACAGTTGCTTTACAAAACGCACAAAGAGATTTTTTTCCAAGAATGTAACTTTTTCCAGTGTTCTGATTTAGGAACACGATAAATAGATTTACTGATGCTAGAAATCTGAGAATTACAGCTCGACAAGAATTTCAGAACTTTTTCTTTTGATTTTCTAAAAAATCATGAAGTTTCTCTTTAAATCGATGCACTTCAAAATCACTCTGTTTGCAATTAGTTGAGCATTTATATGCTCAGATGGTATCATGTTATAACAGAAATTATAAAATCAGGCCTAGGGGAAGCCTGTTATAATTTTAGAAGCAATTTAGCAATCTGCTTTCTACATCACTTAACATAATCACCATTAAACTCCATCTGCCTCAGTGTGGTAGACTTTATAGACTGGTACATCTATTGGTTCTGAGACAGCTCTCAATGGACAACTGGAACAATGCCTACCAATGATAGTTTTCAGGATTTCTTCAGTGCTGATTTTGAAGGTGAGAGCTTCTTCCTTGGTCATGACATTTCTTTTTGGCATTGAGGGTGACTCAGCTCCAAGAATAGCCTAGGAGCAAGATATTTGTCTCTCTCCTGACTTTAAGGAAAAATAGAGAATGCCTCATGAAGAAAAGAGTTATGTCCTTATCCCAAACACAGCTGGCAAAGCAAAACTGTCCTAAAATAGCCTCACAGTTGCTGATAACTGAGGCTGGTGGACAAGTATCATTTCCTCTTACAGGGAAACTGTGATTATTCAAAGAGAGCAGATCTGTGATAAACTGTGTGTGTGAATGGCTGGAAGATCTTAAATCAGGTATTTCCAGCTCACCAGGGAGTTCTGTCAGATAAAAGAGTTCTCATTAGCTTTCGTGTTTCTTCAAGAGGTAGCAGAGAGAGAAAATAACAAACACTGAAATTTAACAAATTCAAATTTAAGATGGAAAAATCTCTGATCAGCAATTTGAGATCTGACAGCCAGGACTCTGAAGGAAGGAAGGCTAGAGTGTTTCCTTAAAAATATAAAAATATAATCTTTGAGCAATTTGATCTCTAATATAAAGCTTCATTGCCTACCATTGTTTTGAAGTCATGCAATATGAAGCTAAACTCTCTGGGAAAAATGTCATGGGGAAGAGGAAATATTTATTGCTAAATATTTTTTGCAAATCATTTTGAATACTCTTTTAGCAAGTAGTTTAAAATAATGATGTTAATTTCCAAGCCAAGATCTTTTTATTTTCTTTAAGTTGATATTTTGAAATATTTTTAGAAACATTGTTAAATCCCCATCTGTGTCTGGTAAGATTTGTCATCTGTGGCATAGGGGTTTGAATAATCATGTGCCCAGCTGTGAAGGGAACCAAAAGAACTGTATTCTCTGTAGTAGTATATTTCATCCAGCTGAACTGTTTTAAGTAACTGTCTGATGAAGGTGAATTGCCCCCAACCCATCACACACTCAAACAGGAGCTGTTCTATAATTTTAGAGAAAGATTGAGCAAATGTGAGAGTCTTACTAGCTTCCAGGAGACTAAGATGAAGTAGAAAACAGTGACATTCTCATCTTCCTTGGAGTTTGGCCCAGTCACATGGATGGAATTTACTCTGGACCCTAATCAGCAAAGTGAAATTATGATTAGTAATATCTTGCAGAAATATGTTACAGCCACTGCTGATTAAGATAATCATTAATACCTCTCTGAGCTTACTAGGCTGCTGATGTACTTGTAGAGCTAATTCCCTCTGTTCTTCCTCTCATTTCATACACTATTAAAAAGTTCATCTATGGTCTACCTATGATTGGGAAGGCCTTTCCAAAAGGACCACTCTTTTCAGTACAGGAAGTCTCCAACTTATGAATGAATTATGTTCCAAAAGTTTGTCTGGAAGTCAGTTGTTTGGAACACAGAACACATTTTTCCATCGTGACAATGTTATAAATAAGGGCTGCTCAACATGTGGCCTGTGATGCAGTTTGGGTTTACACGGGGCTCAACATGGGGCCCGCGGGTGAGATCCCTTGAACATGGCCTCCACTGGGAACATGCTCCACAGCACTGAGGCATCTCCCAGGCGGGGTGAGCACTCAAAAATGCAAGTGGATGGGCTGGATGGAACAGTTGGGTACAGGGTATCGGTGTTTCTAGCCCCTAAGGAGAAGGTGCCGGGAACGCTGGGCATTGTGTGAAAGAAGCTATTTGCATATACTGGCTTATATATTTGCGTGTATATGCAACCACATTTAAGTTGTGGCCCTCAGCATGTGCTTGAGTATCATTGTGGCCTCCGGGGCTTCCAAAGTTGAGTTGCCCTGTTATAAATGGTAGTTAGGTTCCCAGGCTAACCCACAAAAGCCCACTTAACCCATAAGGTAGCTGAAATACTGTATATTTGCAATGAAAAATAGCAGACATTGTTTTTTATTTAACTTTAAAGGCTGGTGCATGAAGAAAGGCAGGTTTAATTAGATGATGAGGAGGAGTTAGGTGGAGATTCTGAAGGGGACTTCTGGGAATCCCCCAGCTGTCATTTCTCCCCTCCCACGCCCAGCTGGCTCTGTGCCAGCTCCTGAGGCCAGCCCCTGGCCACCCTCCCCCATTCACCAGTAGGTGGTGAGCGGTGAGAATGTGGGACGGAGCACTCCGGAGAAGCAGAAGGTGGCTGTGCAGCTGGTGGCTGGAGAGAAGCAGCAGTTTCCTCTTCAAAGTGCCACTTCTCTTCAGCTGTTGACTGTGTGACTGCCCCCTGCTCCTGGGAAGTCCTCCTGGCAGCACTTGCACTGCTCGCCACCACCTGTGCCTCTTGCTTGCTCCCCAGAGGCCAGGGCCATCCTTACCTTAAATAAAATACACTCAACCAGTGAAAGAGCCAATCAAGTTGTAATGAAGCCATTTAACAGGAATTTGCCAACCTCAGGAATATACTGTCAGTTTCTGATTTTACTCTGTTAGTCTACAGAATCTGAGTTTAAAATTGCTTTAAAATATTTTATTAGTGTGTTGCTGAAGATTTATAAAAACACATATCTAAAAAACCTATCCTCTTCTTTCCCCTGGGCTACCGTTGCTCATAAATGCTAAGGATGCCCCTGCTTTAGGCAGCAGGTGAGCTTTGTACGTAGTGGGGATGTTAGTAAGTCAGGGTATGTCTACACTACCACCCTAGTTCGAACTAGGGTGGTAGTGTAGACATACCCCTAGAGCTCTTTGAGGGGTTTAACAAACATGTGGACAAGGGGGAATCCAGTAGATATAGTGTACTTAAATTTCCAGAAAGCCTTTGACAAGGTCCCTCACCGAAGGGTCTTAAGTAAAGTAAGTTGTCATGGAATAAGAGGGAAAGTCATTTCATGGACTGATAACTGGTTAAAAGACAGGAAACAAAGGGTAGGAATAAATGGTAAGTTTTCAGAATGTAGAGCAGTAACTAGTGGTGTTCCCAAAAGTCTGTACTGGGACCAATCCTACTCAATTTATTTATAAATCATCTGGAGAAAGGCGTAAATAGTGAAGTGGCAAAGTTTGCAGATGATACTAAATTCTTAAAGATAGTTAAGACCAAAACAGACTGTGAAGAGCTTAAAAAATATCTCTCAAAACTAAGTGATCGGGCAACAAAATGACAAATGAAATTTAATGTTGATAAGTGTAAAGTAATACACATTGGAAAAAATAATCCCAACTATACATACAATATGATGGGGGCTAATTTAGCTACAACTACTCAAGAGAGAGATCTTGGAGTCATTGTGGATAGTTCGCTGAAAACATCCACTCAGTGTGCAGTGGCAGTCAAAAAAGCAAACAATGTTAGGG